AGAACGACCCGAGTCGGGTAACTCGGTTATTACTTGCCCAAAAATATTACAAACAAGCAAGACCGTGGCGAAGCCGTGATCGAGACAAGTCGAGGACACGCAACACCCGATCCTTCATCACACATTCCCTACGTCGCGCCGTGACTTACCTCTCTCCCACGCCGCGACATAATCTTCGCGCCGCGTTGGGCTTATCGTCACGCGGCGCAATCTTCGTTCCAGTGGATTCCACTTGACGAGGCTCCCAGGCCCACCATCGAGGCCCACGAAGGCCGGGTCCAACTGAACAGTGGGTATTTCGAAACGGGTCCCAGGGGACTGGTCTTTACGCTGGCCCGTAATGGCCCAGAGGCCACAGAGGGCCCGTCTCAATGGGCGAACCTTACCCACGCGGCAACACTCTTGGTGACCGTCCTCGTAGAAGGAGAAAAGGCCCTTGCTGCGAACGAGGGACTCAACTTCAGAAGATTCAGGAAAGATGATTCAAATTTTAATGTGATCCAAACCTCGCCAGTGTGAATTTTAGGTTTCAAATTGCTTTAATGTGGTTGCCCCTAATTTCGGTGAGGAACCGGATTGTGGGTCCCAATTAGCATCTATTTTCTGTGAGACGGTTAGATGTAAAATCTATTTTGATATATAAAATTTAATTTAACGATAAAAAAGGTGGCCATCTAATCTAAATAAAATTATTGCTAAATTACCAAAAATTTACTAGCTTAGAAAATTAAGGTGACAACTAACAATCATCCCTCAAAGAAGCAACATGGCGTTCAAAATTTAAAATATTTCAATTATGTCCAAACATTTTACTTTTGTGATTTGTGATTAAGTTTAAAAAAAATAATAAACTTTCATCAATTAATTTAGAGAAGCAAAACCAAAATGAAGGCAAGGAAAATATTGACCAATTTAATGCAATTCATGGAGACTCAAAATTACACATCATTATATTGGTCATGTATTTTTTTTTAATCAAACATCAAATTAGCATAGATGAAACTCGAAAATGTACAACCGTATAACCAACGGGTTACAAACCAACTTTCCAAACAACAGCTGTAAGAAAAGGCTGGACAGAGGGAGAGCCCAACACAGTGAGCTCCCCTAAAAGACCACACGGCCATAACCTACAGAAACACAAGAAAAAAGAAAAAACCTACAACCAAAAGGACTGAAAGCAAAACAACTAACAACAAGCAACAAAAGACCAGCTATCAATACATGACAGGAGCTGAAAAATGTCTTCTAACACCATAGTGAAAGCAGCAGCAAAGATTTCTTGAGAGTTTAGCCATTTCCTGAGTTGGGGGTCCTTCACATAGATCTGAATCTCTTGCCATTTCATGTCTTGCCCCTCCATTAACCATTGTCTGATCTGAATAAGTTCATTTTCCACTGAACACCTCACAGTATCCCTAGAAATAAACCACTCTCTAACTATCTCACAATTGATCCAGGCCACTCCTTTCACATAACTTCCTGGCACACAAACATCATTAGCACTGGGATCAACCAACTGACCCCCTACTCCTTGATGCTGACCATCATTCATAATGCTCCCCTGATTTCTGCAATCTACCATAGCCTGATCATATTCCAGCCATTCACTGTGTGCACCTGCCACCAACTGCCTTTCTGAGCATTTTTCTTTATTGAAGAGCCAATTGTTCCTCGTTTTCCATAGCCACCACAACATATAGGTTGAAAGAGCAGCCCTGTCTTGTCCATAATCTGCCTTCTTTGCATAACAGACATCCTCCCACCAAGATTTAAATTCCATAGTCTCTGTCTGCATCCTGTCCCATGAAAGTCCTGAGAGCTTTCACACAGTTTTAGCTCTGTCACACAAAAACAGCAAGTGCACCAAGTCTTCCTTATTGTCTCCACACCAACAGCATATACCATCCACCTCAATCCCTTTCTGGCTTAATTTATCAGAGGTGCTCAAGCACTTGAAGTAACATCTCCATATGAATTTTTTGATCTTGCTCTTAATGGGGAGTTTTCATGTCACTTTCCACACCTTCTGTTGAGTTTGATTGCCAGTACTACTTTCCACCAGCCCCTGCTCCTCATTTTTCTTATTCTGAATGGTGTGATAGGCACTTTGAACAGTGAACAGTCCTTTCTTGTGAGGTAGCCAAATTAGTCTGTCTTTGCACCCCATTTTGCTTATGTGGATCTTGAGAATGTTTGCAGCATCCTGGGGATTAAAAGTCTGCAGCACCAGCTCACTATCCCAATCACACCCCCCTGCAATCATAAGATCAGCTACTTTGCACACTCTCACAGTATCCTTAGGAAAAGGACATTCAGGGTAAAAATGGTTAAGCTTTGGGATCCAGGGGGAATTCCAGATATCTATGGACTGCCCATTGCCAACCAAGTAACAAGCCCCCAGTTTAAAAGATTTCCTAGCTTCTAACCACCCTTTCCAAAGCCAAGAATCACTGGCCTTTTTTTCCACCTCCCAGAACTTCCTCTGAAAATAATATCTACCCCTCAAAACCCTGCTCATCAAAGTGTTTGGCTTTGTCAACATTCTCCAAATCTGCTTTAAAATTAAAGCTTCATTGAAGTCACTAAAAACTCTAAATCCCAACCCCCCTTCACTCTTGGGCTTGGCTAACCTATCCCACCTTAACCAGTGAATCTTGTTCCCTCCCACCCCATTGTTTCCCCACCAAAAGTTGGCAATAGTTTGGCAAATGTCATTGCATATACCCACAGGAAGTCTAAACACAGACATGATATAAATGGGTAAGGCAACCAAAACAGTTTTAATGAGAATTTCTCTTCCTGCCTCACTAAGAAATTTGTTCTTCCAATTTGCCACTCTAGACACCACACACTCCTTGACATAAGAAAAAGTATCTTTTTTGGATCTTCCTATACCCAAAGGGAGCCCAAGATATTTGGAATATTTAGCAACAACCACTCCTCTAAGAATTTGACAAATGTCAGACTTGACCAAATCAGGAGTATTGCCAGAGAAAAAGATGCTGGATTTGTGCATATTGACAGCTTGTCCAGACATGGCACAATAGGTGTTAAGAATAGACAACAAAACATGAGCCTGACTAGGCTTGGCCTGACAAAAAATAAGGGCATCATCTGCAAAAAAAAGATGGGATATAATGGGGGCATGCTTACTGATTTTTAGCCCTTGGAATTGATTAGAGAGACTGGCTTGATCAATCAAATTGGAAAAAGCTTCAGAGGCTATAATGAACAAATAAGGTGACAAAGGGCAGCCTTGCCTAAGACCTCTAGAAGGCTTCACATCCCCCGCTTGACCACAAAAATTAAAAGAAAAAGAAGAAGTACTGATACAAGCCCATATCCAGTTAATGAACACCTCACAAAAACCCATACACCTACACACATTCAAAAGAAAACCCCATTCTAGTCTGTCATAGGCTTTTTCCATATCTAATTTAAGGGCCAAGAAATGATTTTTTGCCTTTTTTCCTACCATTTAAGTGGTGAATACACTCATTAGCAATAACAAAATTATCTAAAATTTGCCTTCCAGGCACAAAAGCTGCTTGAGAATGAGAAATACAAGCATGAAGAACAGTTTCAGTCTATTAGCTAAAATTTTAGCAATAATTCTATAGGTAATAGTGCATAAACTAATAGGTCTGTAGTTGACAATAGTTTTGGGATTTTTGATTTTGGGAATAAGGGTGATGACTGTATGGTTAGAAGCCTTAGGAATACAACCAGAAGAAAAAAAAATTGGACACAGCTAAAAAGAGATCAGATTTAATAACATCCCAGGCAGATTGAAAAAAGAGGGGAGAGTAGCCATCAATACCTGGAGCTTTGTTTGGGTCCATAT